TTGTTTCCGACAAGTATTAATTCATCCTACTTTACAATCACTCAACAGAAAACTTCTAGCAATGACAACTTTAGGATTTACTTTGTCCTACAGATATTCTACCAGAACTGTAAACGCGATACTGGCGACCCCATAGTCAATATGAAAGCTAGTCAGAACAAGGACAACTTGGCTTTGAACTTCATCTGTTTCCAAACGTAAAAATAACTCGATTAGTACAATAATTAAGTGAATTATTGTTATCAAGTGGTATGCATAGACATAACGACCAGTATTAAGTGTCTTGTAAAAATAAATTAGAATTATGGGTCACACTAATATAATAGGATAATAATGTCCTTCAGTTGGTAGATCACATGCAACATGGATAGTCTACAGACACAGCAGACCAAATTGACGTGGTGGGCGTTTGCGCAACGATTTGATTGGTTAGTTATGGACATGCAATCACCAAAGGCTAATTATCGAATAAGTACTCTCCAAATACGTGCAAACCAATTAACCAAGGTGGTCATCCAAGTTCTTTTCTTTCCGCGTTCCCAAAATGTGCATGGAATGCAAGTCATTAAGGGCTAGATTTATCATACTGCACAATGATAAATACGTTGTACAAATATAGTTACAATATGCCATTTAAAATCTACATGGTATAAACTACCATGACATCTTTCTCAGCAATTACCGACTGAGATTTATTTTTAGACAAGTTGATTTCATTGTTTTACTTGGTCAATCTAACTTGCAGGACTCAGGTTCCTAGTCTACCTCGTTAATTAAATTAAATTTCCTAATGCAATAATAGTTTCCCCAAAAGGAGATGACTTGGAAACTAGATACAATAGTAGAATAAAAAAGTACATTTTGAAGTCAATGAAGGAACATGACTTTACTTATGTTTTTGACCCACTCATAGTTACCCTCAATCAGCCTAATCTTCCCCCCATTACCCGGTTGTAGAGTGTAGATAAAACTTAAGGGATATTATTGATTCCAGCTAAATTAATGCGCACATACTCCATTTTTGAGGAAATTACATCAAAGATATAATGGTTTTGATAAGATATATGGAGAACGTTTCATCTCACTTCTACCGCATCCAAATCAACTTCGGTGCTTTAAAAACCTAGACGTTAATCAGAACATTCCCTGAAATAACGCAAAGCATTGAGAGTTATCATTCAAGAATTGTTATCTTTACCAGAGAGCTAAAGGTATCATTGTGTGGAATTTCAAGATTATCTATAAATCTTATATTTGTAAATATAATCTAAATCACGAATGCCGGGAACAGATCCGAGAGACAATAACAAGTACGCCTAAGCTTCACAGTTTGAGAAAATTCTATGTATTTGATAGGAAATTGTGTCATTAAATGAAATTATACAGGACAAAGCCATATTGAACAAAATAGAATTTCGCAGTTTTACCGTACTCGGTCATTCGAATGAATCGTATGAATTAGTTCAAGCAATTTTTAACTACTATATTGAGTTCAGTTTTGCATTTGTCAATAAAAAAACTGACTGATTTGTATGTAAAATCTTGTACTGAAATTTAGTATATTCCATCGTAGAGAAATAATTTCATCTTACATAATCATATGTAATACTTGGATACATCGAGTAATTCAATTTAAACATCATTCAGTAAGGGACCTTATTTCGCTTACCAACTGACAATATAACCACCTTTTCATTGGTTCATCCATAAGGATTGAAAGCTAGTTCAGTATATTCGAATATAGAATATTAAAATTGAATTTTTGGACAAATTTTTATCCAAAGATGTTTCCAGCCAAAGTTTATTGAAGTCTAACAAACACTCCATTTTAAAAGTATAAATCTTGTATTTTGCAAACCAAACAGGGCATTCTTCATCAATAATCGCCATCATATTTGTGTATAGATCTGGATACTTCTTGGGTGCTCAAACTATGACAGTTTTCTTAGACGAACACTTCTGGAACCTTTGGCAAACAGGTCTAGTACAAAAGGCAGTGAAGAAACGTTAGATGCACTCACATGGTAGTCGATAGTCAAAACAGCATTGTATGTTATGTTTCATCAGATACTTCAGTTTGAATTGGGGTTTTAAAACTCCCTTACATGAACTTTTCGTGACCATCAAATCGGCTGCATACCTGGACTTCCAAAAAGAAGAATCTATCATTATGTTGAAAGCTATTTTTATCGTTTGGCATAAGTTTTAATTTCATCCACATTCAAATAACAATACACTGCCATATATCTCACTAACTCAAGTTTATTAGTGTGATGACACAGGGCTTAGTAAACTTCATAATTCATTCAAACTTTAATTCGCTTATTTACATCTTAAATCAATTAATTTCAGTATTTGCAACAAAATGCATTGAGTAAAAAAGTTGTCATTCTATTTAAACGCTTATAATTTTGTCGTAGTCAACTAAAAATTGAGTGTTGCACTCTGTGGATAAAGTATATATACAAAATAGTACGCAAACGTTAAACGAATTACTTTGACTTAAATGAATTGTTTTTAAGTATCACAAAAAAAAAACAAAATTCCAAAAGAAGTAAAGAATATCGTACTGACAGTCTACTGTAATACGGTACAAATGATATGACATGCATTCTCAATATAATTGAATGGTGAATTTTTAACAAAAGAAACAATAAGTAAGACTTTGTTTATTTAGTTTCAGAACATCTGTAATTTTTATTGATTAAAATTAACAATCGGAATAACTCTTATAATCATGCCTCTATCAGATTGCACCTCTGAATCTATTAGGAAAATATTCACCAAACTTTTGTATCCAAGTTGGTAAAGTTCACTTACTATCATTAATTGAACCTATTTGTGTCTCCTTGACCGAAAAAGTCTCTGTAATTTGTTAAACGTTATTAGATCGGTTATCTTATAACAAAAGAATCCATCTGATTGATGACTGTTACAGTAAGAATCGATATAACTCAAACATTAGATTGACAGAATCAAACATCAATTTAAAAATATAATCATGATAGGGAACAGCTGTCTAAATGGCTAGAAGGGTGAAGATCCTGACACAATTCATTTTTATTTAACTCGAAAACTGTTTTGTTCTTCCTATCTTTCGGCTTTTTCAAAGTCTTCGTATACAACCATGTGCAGTCATGTGGAATCACATGATGGCTGAAGCTGGAATACTTAAGCTGATAGAACGAAAAAAGCAATTACAAGATTAAATCCGACCCATATACCACTAAAATCAATAATCGTGTACTCGAGTTTGACCAACTACAAATGTAATGTTTAATGATGACATTTCGATCTTCGAACTGACGCAAGTATCTTCAGTTCAGACATTGATTACTCTTGTTGAAAATCACAACCCATCGCCCTACAATTCGAATGTATAGAGTTCCCCACACAAATGCAATCGTAGTGCAGTGAACAGAAGCAAAGCAGTTAGCATATACTGTAAGAGATTAGCTCGTTTGTGGTACAATCGTATTTAAATATTTTTCAGTCTCACAGTAAGGTGGTGTTGAAAAACACTAAAAGTATCATTACTAATAGCATGATTTGATTGAAATTTAGATCACGCGAAGGACTTTACTAAACCTTAACCTTTGAGATAACATGTATTAATTTTAATGAAATAAAAATTATTGGTTCGACTGAAGCAGGTTTTGAATTTTTTAAATGAATAAAATGCAGAGCAGTAGATACAATGTGGTGATACGATGTAGCAGAGTGATAACTACTCACGAGAATGAAAAATTAAATTTAAAAAAAAAACTATAAATGAGCTGTTATCAAAACAAGACTTTTAGCCAAGGAAATAGCTTTTTAGAACATGTTTATATGCAAACTACTGATAAAAAGTAAACGTCATTGGATGATCTAAGGGATCGGGGGAAATCAGTTTTGTGGGTCAGCCACTCTTTACTGAATTACAAAATGCGTTAAGCTTAATTCATTCCCACAATATGACCTCCTAAGCAGGACGTCATGTGACCTTTTGTCATGGTACTGGCAAAACGGTGATTCTTTTGCATTGTTTTATGAATTATACAACTTTAATGAATATCATGTTTCTGTTCCGTATACGAATACATATGCGCCACACAAATCTCATTCGATATGTGTGAGGGCTGTGATACTGTCCGGGTGCCCAGACTGAAGCAGGTGGTTTTCTTAGGGGGCCACTCCCTGAGCCTTCAGCCTGAAGGTCTGAACCACAAGGCAGTGGAGCATCGTAAGAAGATGCAATCCCATGGTAACCGTTGACCAACGATTAGTTCATACGCCATTTGTTCCCTCAGGATACTGGAGACCAGGTGCACCATCAGTTTGGAATCCGGTTAAAGCGCCGGACATTCGCTTCTCATCCTCTTATTTTTGTAAACAACACCCCCACCACGAGAATGCGGTGAGTAGGACTTCCCTGGCAGAGGCTATATACGCGTGGCCATGTGAGAGCATTTCGAGAGGGAGAGCGGACTCTCCCCACTCTCGGCCATACCAGGGCATTTCATAATTGATATGAAATTCAAGACAACTATCTTTTATTGCCTGATTTTTGAGGTGGGATAAATTTCTAATTTCACCTCCTTCCTGTTTAAAATGAGACCGTTGATCACACCATTCGATCTGTAACAGTGTGAACACCCAAATTGTTTATCCTGTGACTGGGGATATCTATGACTTGTGTAATTGTTTAATGCACGGCTTGTGCATATCTTGTAGACTTGGCTAATATTGTGACAGCCCCAATTTGCCAGCTTTGAGGAAATTTTGGGGAATTTTGAAGAAATCCCCAAAGTGGAATAGCCTTCCCCAAAGTTTGGGGAAATTTAGGGGAAATCCCCAAAATTTTCGTAGCGCATTTTTGCACACTAACATTTCATCGACATAATATAAATAAGCCTCACAGTAGTAAATTTGAATAGAGAAATTAACATTTTAATTCAATACAGACTTTTGATGAGGGATAATCTATCGAATTCCAGGTCTTGTTTTAATACATCAACAATCAGACAGTAGACAAAGAGTTCTCGGTTTTAAAGCACTTTTTCAAAATTTGAAAGCTATGCGGGTGAGTTGTTTGCAGTGCAGGTCGGGAGATTTGGTTGCTGTCTATGTTCACTTTTACTTAAGTGAATTATTTCTTTCAGAATAATAATAGACAGCTCGATAAAATTGCGAAAAGGCGGGCAGCAGACACGAAATACCCTAGGTTGTTTGGCTGTTCCCGATCAACCTATTACAGAAGGTTGAGGAAAATAAAAGCACAGTTTATAAAGAAGTGTCAGTTACCGAGCTGTGACGAAGAGACAGACAATCCAGTTGTCACAGAATCGCGTACTACCGTAGCTACAGAGCAGTGGGCTAATATTGTCACAGATACAGCTACTACTTCATGTAGTCACGTCCAGTGTTCAGACAACACAATCAACGGTAGTATCTGTTTAATTAATAAAATTTTATAGGTTGTGTGATTTCAGAAATGTCCCCAGCCATTCATCTTTCGGTGAAAGACGAGTTAGACAAAATGGTCATTGAAATGATGAAAGGTGGTTATATAAGCATAAAGAAGGCTGATCAAATACTGGACATTTTTGCCCCGATGGAATTTCCAGTTGTCAACATTTCAACAGGAACGTTTTCTCCGATTGCGAGGTTTGTACCTACTTTATCAATACTCATATAGCAGTTCATCGAAAGCTGACGTATCATCACCACTTCCACGTACGTCGACGGAAGTTGATAAACCGTAAGTTGCATTTACTGTATTCCTTATAACAAAAGTTTGTGCGATGATACAAACAAAATGTTAAGAACGCTCCTGAAATCGGTCAGTGAGCTGTCTACGAAAATAGACAAAATCCTATTTTTGTGTGAACGCTTAGCCATGAGTGTAATCGACAGGCGTACAGAGGAAATGGATAGTGATACTATACATTTCCCATTAAGAACGCATGAGGAGTTGCGTTCTTTAGAGGCAGCTTTAGAAAACCAAAAATACCGAGATCATTTCGTAAGTTGTAAAAGGTGTTTGGATAAATTTTAGGTGGCAAGGTTATGCAACCTAATGTGTGAGAATACTCGGAAATCAGCTAAAGCTTGTCTTCAATACCTCCTGTCGCCAGAACTCGCGAACACTTACACTTTGCACGGAACCAGAAGTAAATTTGGTATTAGTAAGTACAAATTTTACTCGACGGTTCAAAGTAAGTCAACTTTACTGTATTAACATATTTGTAGGTGCTTTGTGTTCACATTTCCGAAGTGCAAGCTGCCCGGAGAAGGAAATTATACACGCCATGGCTGCAGCAAGCCAAGCCTTCTTGCATGACGCAAGAGATAAAGTACATAAACGTGGATGGCGATCCAAAGAAAGGGTGAGCTAAAACTACTTAATATTGTTGTTATAATACATATGTTAACTTTGTCACACATTGTTCCTACTCCTTCCCCTTCCCACTCTTTTGTATATTGTTTAATACCACTTAATAAAATGCATTATTCTGTTGTATGCCCAATAACTGAAGTTCACTTTGGGGATTTCCCCAAAATTCACAGGATGTTAATCGTCATTGTATTTATCACTATAATCACTACTTTAATTACTGTAACAGCTTATTACTTTCTGATCAATACTCAAGGTGATATAACTTGTCTCTTGTATGTTTCCCTTTCAGCTGGCTTCGCAGGCTTTATCAGACGTTACTGTAAGTTCTTTGTTCGCATTAATAAGAACATTGTCATACTATTGGTGCATCACCAACCTTTCACATATCTTGACACGTTATTATACACTAAAAATGATTTATTTATTTTTTAGAACATTATCAATGACACTTCTACGTCTACGTAAGGTGTTGCTGTTACAACGCAATGAGAAACTTTGTATAAATGATTCATCTGTAATTTTATCAACTGTAATAAACATTTATGTATTTCATAAATCAGTCTTTTGATAATCGCGACAAATCGGTCAACATTGTTGCATTAGCAATGCGCGATTGACGGAAAGTAATAAAACGTCGCAGTAGGAAATGTACGTAAGCATTCTCCTAGGTCTTCCGTGATGTCGATAGGCTTTCGAGCTTTTGCGTTAAAACAGTTTTCCAGGAAAACCCAGAGGTTTGGGGAGGCTTCCCCAAAATGATATAACTATCGTGTCCGTTCGCCTCTCACTTCGCAGGCTTTGACAGACGTCACCATAGTGTATTTGTTCTTTTGTAAATTGTTTTATACTACTTACAAGAATTCAGTAGTCAGTTGTATTCCCAATAACTTGAGGATTTCCCCAGATCTGGGGAAGTTTTGGGTTTTTTTCTCATTTCCCCAAAATTTATTATGGCGGTTTCCCCAAAGTTGGGAGCCTGGGGCATTATTGAAGTTTTTGAACTTGAAGAATTTTCAAGAAATTATGATTTCAATGGCGTTGTGATAGACACTACCCACAAAATCGCTTTAAAGTGGTATGCAGCGGAGCAGCGAATGGGGGTTGCTGAAGTCGACAGCCGAAGACAGGAGTACAAGGAAGCCAAAAGCACGGCGAGTTCGGATTATTTGAAGCCAGAAGGGAAACTATAGAAGACAGCCTACAACCAGCTTAGGATGCGGAACACAATAGATCCAAATGGAAGACTGATTTATTTATTATTTATTTATTTGAGCACATAAATATTGGTACAAGAGAGCGCCAATATATATGCGCCACACAAAACAATGAAATTTCGAAGAGAAAAAAAAAACTAAGGAGCACAAAAGAAAAAGAGAACGATAACGAAGAGATTGGTGAAAGGTAGTGTGGTCGTAACGATGGAACGGAGAGGTACAATCAGAAGAAATCTTTCAAGTAAGGGAGACACAACCACTTTTTATGAAGAAAGTAAAAGAAGGTTACAGCAGGATCTCTCAGACCCCAACCAGGGAGTCGTGAAGGACCGACAGAAGCCAGTCCTTTGCAGCTTTCTTTCATACCACGACACCATGTCATGCACTGACCACCTCTCCGCTTTTTCCAACCAGTCCCAGAGTCGGCAAATAATGCACGACGTGGAATTCTCTGGGACGACATTCGTAGAACATGTCCAAGCCACCGAAGTCGGTGTTTCAAGATGGTGACACCAATTGAATTATCATCTCTGTGCCCAAACACACGATGCCGAACCTCTGCATTATTGACATGGTGTTGCCACTGAATGTCAGCAATCCTTCGGAGACAGCGATGATCGAACACAGAGAGTCGTCTAACGTCCTCAACTCGGAGAGGCCAGGTTTCACAACCATAGAGCAAAACTGCTCTCACCGACGCGTTGTAGATCCGATCTTTTACAGCCAGACTAACATCACGAAGGCGCCAAAGGTGGCCCAGATTGGCATAAGCCGCTCTGGCTTTCACTATACGTGCATTGATCTCATCACTCACACCCCCACCAGCACTTATGCAGCTACCCAGATACACGAACTTCTCGACTACGTCTATCTGCTCACCATCCAGGGTGAGTACAGGATTGGAATCCTGCCAGTCTTGTAGAAGTACTTTGCACTTCGAAGGTAAGTCATCTGGGCCAGGTGATTTGTAACGCTTCAAGAGTTGGAGTTCCTTGCGGACTTCCTCCTCGTTTGGTGGATCAGTCGTCACCGGCCATGGAGGGCAGGACAGTCTGACCGATGTTGCCGGAGCAGCAGGCCAGTTGAACTGCCCTTCGAAAAATTCTGCCCATCGTCCAAGACGTCGATGGATGTTAGTGATTGGCATCCCATCATCCTCGCAGATTGTTTCACTCACACCAGACTTCTTGCTGCCAGTGGCTCGGATGAGCTGGAAGAGCTTCCGGTAGTTACCAGATGCAGCTGCTGCTTCCAGCTCATTAGCACGCTCCGACCACCAGGCTTCTCGGTCCTTGCGCAAGCTTTGCCCAAATTCCTTACGTAACATCCTTCGTTTATGGTCAAACTCAAGGTCACCCGGGGTCGACCGACGGGCTTCAATAAGTTCTAAGGAACCTCCAGAAACCCAGTGCTTATAAGCGGGACGTTTCGCAAACCCACAACTGACTGTTCCCGCCATTTTCATGGCGTCATGCAATTGCAACCAATGCTCATCTATACTTTTCGGTGGAGTGGTAGCTAGCCTAGAAGCTAGCTCGGTTCGATACTTATTTACAACAGAAGTTGCAACCAGCTTGCTAATATCAATCCTTTGATGGCGGTCACTTCGTTGTCCACTGAAAAGTAAGGCAAGATTGGCGCAGACCAAGGCATGGTCAGAGTCCAGATAGGTACTCCAAAAGGAGCGGCAGTCTTTTACACAACCACGCCAGCGGTAGCTGATCGCGATGTGATCAATCTGAGTCCAGGCTTGGGATGCAGAGGGAGGACGCCAGGTGGCACATCGGCGATGACTGTGCCGAAAGTTAGTGCTAGCCAGAAACAGGTTGTGGTCTGTGCAAAGTTGCAGTAGACAGTCGCCGTTATCTGACCTGAGACCAACGAGTCCCCATCGGCCACCTAAACGACTCTCTTCTGTGCCTAGACGCCCGACCTGCGCATTCAAGTTTCCGGCTAGTACTACAATATCTGTCGAGCGCACTTTCTGGAGAAGAACAGACAGCTGGTGGTAAAACTCATCCTTGATTGCATCCGGGCTGCAATCTGTCGGGGCATAGGCGGAGATGACGAAAATACATCGTTTCTCACGCCGATTTCTTCTCACTTTGATGGAACTTTCTAATCTAACAGCACATAACCGACTGTTAATGGGGATCCAATCGACTAGTGCTGCCTCAGCTCTAGCGCTTAGTGCGACACCAACGCCAGCAAGACCAGACGAAGATGCCATAGGGTCCCCGGATAAGCGCACGTAAAACAAGCTTTTCGAAGCGACAGATGGAGATCGAATTTGTAGTACTTCGCCAGAGTCTTGAATACGGGTCTCGGATAGACAACAAACATCAATATTGAGACTTTCCAAAGACATAGCCAGCCCTATCTGTTGTCCGACCTGCATTAGTGTACGAACGTTGAAGGCAGCCAGTTTGAATGGTGCACGTGGTTTCAGAAAAACTGCTTCAGTTCTCGTATTCGGTGGTAACATACAATTTTCAACCGAACAGTGACTCGAGAACGTTTAGATACAGTCGAATTTCCACCAAAAACGAGCCGCTGTATAAGTATAAAAGAGGGTGAATAATGTGGAAAATAATAATAATAATAATAACAATAATGGTAATAATAATAGTATTAATAATGACAATAATAGTAATGATAATTATTTGAATTGATTGATTGTTTATCGGATCGAGAAAGGTAGTTGCCGTAGTCATAGAGTTCATTGTTTGTGTGTGGGCTGTGATACTGCCCGGGTGCCCAAACCGAAGCAGGTGGTTATCTTAGGGGGCCGTATACGCGGCCGTGTGAGAGTATTTCGAGAGGGAGAGCGGACTCTCCCCACTCTCGGCCGTACCAGGGCGTTCGGGGGCAGTGTACGTATTTCATAAGCAACCTCTGTACCTTTTAAATAGATAAGTATGAATTCCTTCTGGAAATGGCGTATTCGTACTTTACACTATAATTGATTTCGAACTGCCAGAAAATTCACAACTACCTACAGTCTTTATCGTAGCATAACTTGGAATCACTGCACCACTGGATGTAGTGACGCTTTCATCCATGATCCATCCTTTCTGAACGGCGTTTGACTTTGAATTAACACTTTGTGAATGATCAGATTCTGATAAGTCCATTCTTTAATTGCATTATGTGAATTAATAACGACTTGCACTCATTTAAAGTAATGGACATCTTAAAAATCGACTTTTATCCCTATTTTCATTGTTAGAGTAGAGGATTCGGTAAACGAAAAGTTTGTAAATCCTAACAATCAAATCCCAGTATTCGCTGTTATGGATGTAGACTTGGTGATTTAGTGAACGGACGAGTTTTAGATTGTTAAAATAAGTGAATAAAATGCAGACAGAGTGATATACGGAATGCCTATCACATCAAGAGTTTTATCAGAACTATTAACACCCAAAATAGGAAATAACAAAATAGAAAAATATTACAGAGGACACATTATAGCTTGTTATATTTACATTGAATCCAAATTCTGTACATTTTTAACTTCTTTTTGCGATTTACGATTAATCTGCGATCAACCTTGTTCTGAATCTTTTCTAGACCAACGTCCGTAAATAATTTGTGTAATTCATCTGGCATGAAAATCAAAACATGATTTGTTGGGATTTACCAAACTAACCTTGAGTGAAAAAGTAAACTCTTGTCCCATCTGATCTCATATAAAAATTGTCTTTTAAACACTGGCCATTTTTAAATCTTAGCTGAGCTAAATCAAACCTCCCATAATCTCGAAACAATAGCACACCTCCGGGTTTTAAATACGTAACAAGATTTTTAAGTGTACGGTGAAACCTAAAAATTATTTGCGATTAAGGTAGAAATATTTACAATTCAGGATTAACTGCTGATAATACGAACACTAAGACTAGAAAATCCAAACTATTTTTAGGACAAGGGATCTCGTCATTAGTTTTGGTTATATCATGCTGGAAAGTAATACAACGATCAGCGTCATATCCTTTGGATTCCTTAATGATAATAGTTACATCAAACATGAACTTACTTTAAGTATAGATAGAGCCTTTTCAGAGAAATCTGATGCATATATCAACAGTCCAGGACTCCTAAACTGACTATAGACATTTTAATATCGTATACTTTACAGCGCGTAATATTGGAAATATTGTATTTCCCACACCACAACCGACCTCCATTATGTGCACACTAGGTGCTAAAAAAATTAAAAAGGGCCAAAACTCACATGTTGAAGAAAATAATTCGCAGAACTCTTTTTCTAACCAATTTCTGTCCTTGAAAAATCTATCTTCATGATGGGAATAAAACTTGTCCCAGTATTCATGTGCAAGGATCTCAATTCTTTCTAAACATCAAAAATGAGCAACAGCTTGAAAAAACCTTGAGAATCATCTGGGAGTCTAACAGTACTATTCGAAAATATTATTTCTTTTGCTAAATTTTCCTGCTCTTCTGTCCACTGAACGTCATCCCTAGAGAAGTTGGGTTTTTTCATCTTAATTTTTACCAAGCATTCCACTCATAAACATCAGAAGCATCTGTAAGATATCTGCGTCCAAATATATCGTCACAATCTTTGGAAGCCATTTATAATAATCTGAAATATAATAATAACAACATTAGGAAGAAAAAGGAAAACAGAAACGTGAAGATAGCTGGTAGAGTGTGTAGTAACAAGTTGCTTAACAATTGTGAAAACATAAAGAACGAGTTCACTTGCAGCACTTAAAACAACCTTTAGCCATACCACCTCACATTTACGACAACGAGCAGGTGCTCTAGAGATCACTCATAAAGTGGATTATATTTGCTGTGAAAACTAAGGGCAAGCGGCTTCGTGTGCTGATGTTATGTACTGGTTTGGCTCTGTGGTTTTTTCCAACCTACTCTTATAAAAGCTACCATCGTATTCCAAGCAAAGTGGTAAAATCTTCCCCAGTCGCTTCTGTAAACACTTTAAAACCTCAACTCCACAAGTAATATCATCATTGCTCACTTGGTTGCTCCAACATAATAAGTGACTTTTGACGGATTTTAACTATCCACACGAGGCTTTCATAAACCACACTAGGTTCTCTCCCTTCTACCAATGGTAGCAGTCATTGGACTAAAATATAAGGTACGTAACCATTATATCTAACAATGTACAGATTCATGTTTTGGACCATGTTTACTATGCAACGGCTAATGATACCACTGGGTTGCACATACAGAATTAGATGAAGTCAAACCTGTGATCTACGAGTTTAAAGTCAAACGCTTTGATCACTAAGCCACTGCTCTATTTTTAACAAGCTATCTTATAGATCAGCAACCCAACAACGCGCTTGCCATAAGGTTAAAAACCGTTCGTTATAGCTCCGTACTACCACGAAACCATCTAGACTCACCGTCTCTTATTTATCACTTATGGTCTAATCCACTTATTTTTCCCCAGAACAAACTACGTTAAATAACGTAAAAGGGGGAGCCCATATTTTTAGGTTTTAATCAAGAATTCACCAAAATGTTCAATTGTTTGAACTGTTAGACCAGCTTATGACACAAGAAAAATTATGACGAGCCAAGTGTGCAGCGAAAAATGATAAATGAAGGTTCTAAAGTGTCCAAAAGATTACACCTGCAGTCATATGATCGAAAAGTGGTCTTCAGGATGATAATCACATCCACAAGTGAAAGTCAATCAACACATTATTTAACGAGATTACAATACCTATATGCTCATAATCGGTTGTGTAGAAATCACTTGACTCATTTATTTTTGTAAGGTAGATCGGATGTAGTGTTAAGGAAATGCATCGGTAAATAAAACTATTAACGTAGGAATCTGTAAATAGTGAACTTCCTCATGGTAAAATCCTAAATACTCTTCTTTCTTTACTGTATATAAATGATTTACCAACTGCAGCAAACTTGTCTGTTTTGCTCTGCAGATGACATTAAGATTTGGAAACCCATATACAGTATGCCAGATAGAATAATATTACAGGATGACCGAAATCCACTGGTTGAACGAATGAGTAAGCAGACATGAAAAGTTAATTGTAACAAGAGTGTGGTGATGCAAATAAATAACTGCAACGATTCATGTTACTACATGATGCGTGGAGTTGTGTTATGGATTATAAAGATCTAGGACTCAATGAGCTAAGACCTCAAAACTACGAGTAACTACAATGCTTCTGCTGCCAAAGACTTCAGGGTCTTATGAGCTACTAGTAATTCATTTTATTTCTTGGACGAAAAAACGTCTAGGGTATTATACCCGAATCTTGTGAGCCCGCATTTGAAATATGGGGTCCAAGAAGAGTCCTTACTCCAAGTATGAGATGAATATGTTAGGACGAGTTCAACGGTAAACAGAACAAATAGTAAAAAGACCCCTTTAGCCCATCTTATGAAAACGGTCTGAGATGCCTCAACATTTTCCGCTATCTTACCGCAGATTACGAGGTGATCTAATACTGGCTTAATATACACTGAACAACGATTTTGGTATTGACGTCTTATCTTTTACTTTAATCTACGACTGATCATCTGAGAGAACATTGAGGTTTGAAAACCGTGACCAAATCGCAGGCCAATCAGCTAGTTGGACCCATAGGTCTCCAAAATCCGGATTACCATGACGGATATGTTGCAAATACTAAGAGCTGGGTTAAAAACACTTGCATAATGTCCTTGATGTGATTGTGGAACGAGTAAAAAGAAATGTGGTTCTTTAATTGCCAACGAAACATACCAATCAACTGACAAGGGGTAAATAAAGACGAACAAAGGGGAAACGCGCTAACATGTCTGCTTCCTCGCATGTCCGGAGAAAATAATGAGGGTTTTCCTCTATATGCCGCTGTGTTTCAAGCGTCGCTGGACTGTCTACTTTTCGTCTAGATGCACACCAAATTGTCCAAATTTTGCCTAACTATACGCCGAATTGTCAACTTTCGCCTAAATATACGCCGATATAATCAGCCTCACGGGTAAAATAGACTGAAGTCATATAGGTAAGCTCCTCAATTTAATTTACGAAATTCAATTAGGCTTTTAATTATATAATTAAGTACTCCATATGGAGTACTTATCTGTCCCAATCTTTCTTGGTTTTCTGTAACATGTAACAAGTGTAATCAGCAGTCATTGAAAGGCGGGAAGACCTAAAACCACAACACACACAATGATAACCGAGCACTTCACAGTAGAGAGAGAACACGGAATGAAAACTACCAGTCATTTATTTTGGAAATTAAAATTCGCGGGTTATGTACAGAAGGAAGAGCTAGTTTACAAAACAGATGTAGCGGTAAAGAAATCCCCAAACTAAATAGCTCTGTAAATCTTCGACATTGGATGCTGACCACATTAGTTTTAATGGACTCACCTGGCTGAAGGCGCTCGATCATGCATCCGTACCAGATCATGAGTGGGACCGCCGTGCTCAACAACCCCCTGCAATCGCTAGCCTGATTAGATTAGTCAATCCACGATATATTGATAGCCTATCAAATATATCTTCAAACCTCCTCGCTTCTGTCTTTTGGTTTCACTTGGTGGGTACGATTCATATTAGGTGTTACTGGCTAAGGCGTTGTCAAACTTCGAATACCTGTGGCATCTTCACAGTCTTGTGAGTCATCTTGTAGGTGCAGTGCATGCAGAGCTTGCTCTCCTTCTTCTTCTTCCAAAGCATTTATTCTTGGTTCCTTTGCAATAGAAAGAAAAACAGAATCTATTAACAATACCGTACGTGATGATTTTAACCCCGTTACATCGCCCCCTCTCCTAACGAGGCACTGTCCACAGTGTCTGGTCTCGGACAATGGTGTGCTGTTCCTCCTTCTGATGGTACTTCATAAAATCTGGTGGCTGGCGGTGGGTCTTCGCACTTAACGTCGAAAGGGACTGTCATCCGATCCGGTTTTATTTGGTTCTAGTGTACTGTTATCACGTCGTTCTTAGGCCATTGTATGTTGCTCAATACAAACGTAGAGGGGGATCGGATGAGGACAATTTCGAAAGGACCTTGCCAGGGCTGGTGGAATTTACTGCATCTCCCTAACGATATCATTGGGCTGCATATCCAGACGCGATCTCAGACTGCATACATCAGTCCTTGCACCTGACGATCGTACATGTCTTTATGGTGTCCTCTAACCTTACGCAAGTTAATGTTGTCCAGGCGGTATGCGTCAGCTACTCGGTTGCGGAGAGTACGTATGTACGGTACATGTTCTTGTTCTTCGCAGGGCAGCAGGGGCCACCGTATCGCTACCGGTAAGCGTAATTTGTGCCCGAACAATGAAATAACAGGTGAGAATCCCGTGTTCACGTCTACTGGCGTACAATATGCCAAAAAGCATTGAGGGAGCACATCATCCCATAACTCAGGTGACGATCTGCCGACGAACGACTGTAAGATGGCTTTATTAGTTCTGTTTGTTCTTTCCACGAGGCTATTACCTCCTGGGTGATACTCAGTAGTATGTCTTCCTGATTCCTATTAGGTAGCATATCTCAGCGATGAGATGACTTGCAGAGGATGGACCTTCGTCGGAAGGAAGTGAGACTAGGGCACCATAACGGAAGACCCCATAATCGATAAAAGCTCGGGCAACAGTAAGGGCGTCTTGCTGCGGAATGGGTACTGCTTCGCAACATTTAGTGAAATAATCCCCCATAACCAGTTTGTAGCGATTCCCGTTTCTGTCGTTGTCAATAGTCCCATGATAGCTATGCCAACACGCTGGTGTGGTCCTGTTGTCACTATCGGCGTCATTAGTCCACAGGGTGTCTGCTTACACGGTTTGAAACGGCAGCATGTGTTACGATTTTTAAAACTGAGCTACATCTTCGTGTATGGATGACCACCATAAGCGTTGACGGACAGTGTGTTCAATCCTACGTTCTCCCTCATGATCAAGTTCGCGATGTATCTGCCCCACAATGCTCTCGACTTTCACTCGCGGTACTACCAGTAGGAGTTATTTTGATTCAGTAATTAGGAATAACGTGTCATCATATAGTTTTAGGTTGATCCATTTAGCGCAAATACGACGAGTTGTTAAGGGTTGATCTTTTAACTTCTTCATGGATGGCTTATTGTTTCCATGTAACTGCCTTTTTTAAATAATCTGCAGGCCCGGATCTGTTGCTTGCAGGGAGGGTCAATCAGTCTCCTGAGGTATTCGGGAACGGGCATCCGCGTTTGTATGTCGGTTTCTCGGTCGATACTTGCATGTGAAATCAAACTGTTGTAGCCCTTCCTGCCGGCGTGCCACTTGCCTTTCTGGTTTACGGAAAGAGCGGAGCCACTGTAATACACGGTGATCCGTGCGCACACGAAAGAGTTTGCTCAGTAGATAATGACGAAAGTGTTGTTAGAAGATTACTGGTGCTAACATCTCTCGTGTTGTGGAACACCGTACTTCACTCTTATCTAGTCGTCGACTAGAATACGCAATTACCCTTTTGTGTCCATCTCGAGCTACTTGTGATAAAACTGCTCCAATAATCGAGGAACTAGCATCCTTATCAAGTATAAATTCGCCTCCGCTTGCCGAAGTATTCGGGAAGGCTAAAATAGGTTGGGATGTTAACCGTGCTTTCAAAACATCGAACGCCTATTGACACTCGCTGGTCCATAAAAATTTTCGTCCTCTGTGTTAATCGATGCAAAGGTGTTGCTAGTTATGCGAAGTCGCGAACAAAGCGTCTGCAATAAGAAGCTAGCACAAGGAAGCTACGAACGTCTTTGGGAGGTTTTGGTTGCGGCCAATAAACAATCGCACATGTCTTTTCTTTATCTGTGCCTACCCCATCTGCAGTGATACGATGTCCTAGGAAAACTACTTCTTCCTGCAGAAGGCGACATTTGGATGGTTTTACTTTCAAATTGCGTTGTTCAAAATGCTGAAGAACTGCTTTCAGATTAGTATTGTGTTGTTCGGGTGTGCTACAATACACGATAATATCGTCAAGATATATCAAGCATTCGTGGGATACTGTGTCTCGTAAAACTGTTTGCAATAGTCTTCGGAAAGTAGCCGGAGCATTTGCTAAACCAAAAGGCATCACTTAAAAGTCATATAAACCATTTGGTACTATAAATGTGGTTTTCTTCATATCTTGCGGTCGGACTTTTACTTGCAAATACCCAAATGTTAGGTACAAAGCAACATGCGCCTTTCAAGGCGTCTAGTGTAGCATCGATCCTCGGAAGCTGAAAAGAATCACGTTTGGTTATGGCATTAAAGTGTCGATAATCTACTCAGAGTCATAGAGAGGAGTCTTTCTTTTTCACTAAGACAATAGGTGATGCCCGGGGAGATGATGAAGGAACTATGGTCGTTTTGTTTAGCATATCTTTCATCATTGCATCCAGCTGCGGTTGGTAGTGCACTGGTACCTTGCGAGATGGCTGTCGAAGTGGCATATGGTCACCTGTGAAGATGGAGTGTTGCACTGTAGTTGTGCAATTTCCGGAGGTGCCTTCTTCAAACACAGGACTAAACTGCTGGAGCACAGCAATCATTGCGCGACGATCATTCTCTATGATTACTTGATTACTATGTATCTGACGTACAAGTCTTGAAGTCCCCACATGAGCTATAGATTTAGTTGGCATATCATAGTGGTGCAGGTGTACTATAGCCTCACCAATTTTTACTTCAATCCATGAATAAAGTGACTTCGTGTTTTAACATGAAACCAATGCCTAGAATCACGTCCCAATTTAATGTTGGACAAACGAAGAATTCATACCGAAACTGATGTTTTTCAATTGTGAGGTATAATCATGCCTTAGGACACACCTTCAGCGGATCACCACTTACTGTGAGTAACGTAGAAAGACATGGAATTTGTTGAGTTTTATGGTTAAGTTTCCTCAAGTGCTCTTCCTTGATAAGAGACACCGAAGCTCCCGTGTTTAGTAGTATTTCTACCTCAACGTTTTGCAATCTACCCCTAAACTTAATCGAGTTGACATGATTAACATAAGAAGATAAATAGAAAAGACGCCGCTTACCTGACTTACGGGAACAATTGTAGCCGCATCTTCTGGCATTCCTGACAAACCTCTTGCATTATATACATTCGGCTTGACGTCCATGGTAGTTGCTCCATGCTGATCGTCTATTCCATCTCGGACTTGGCTGTCCGCGGCTGGCAAAGTCGATAACAGCCACTGTCCTCTGGATCCTGTCCAGGTCACTAGATTATGTGGCTCGTTTCACAGTCATCACTGATGTTGGATGTGCATCTGATAAATTCGCTATTTTGTCTGCAGCTAGAAAACAGTGTTGTTCTTTTTAAGTCAGGTGTATCAATTGATGGGTTTCGAAGAAATTGTCCTCTTAGCGGACCCGGTACCAGCCCTTCAACAAAACGTGAACATACTAACTTCTCTCGTCTCATGACATTTAAACGAGGAAATACTCGTACCGCGATTTGCTGCAAGGAATTAAGGTAGTCGAGTGGGTTCTCGCTTGCTTTTTGGTGACATGATAAGAAGTGGATCGTCACCTGTTCGGTGTCTAAGGTATGGAAAAACAGTCATCTAAGATTTCTCAGTTTTGTGAAAGTGTTACTTGCCGCGAAACCATTGGCTGTATCCCTTCGTACTGCTTCATCACTCAAATAGGATACGAGGTAGCTGAAATGTTCGGCCATTGGAACTCTCTGTAGATAAGCTGTAACTTTAAATTTCCGGACAGAGTAATGTGACGAAGTTTCGAGCAGTAGTGGTTGGCAAGGGGTTGAACCAGGTGCAGTCTTGATTGGAATCACAGAGGGTTCATCTAAATCCTTGTCGCGTTTTTCCGTAGATACCTCCATCACCAGTTGTAACACGTGTAATCAGCAGTCATTGAAAGGCGGGAAGACCTAAAATCACAACACACACAATGTTAACCGAGCACTTCACAGTAGAGAGAGAACACGGAATGAAAACTATCAGTCGTTTATTTTGGAAATTAGAATTCGCGGGTTGTGTACAGAAGGAAGAGCTAGTTTACAAAAGTCTCATGAGTTATCTTGTAGGTTCAGTGCATACAGAGCTTGCTCTTCTTCCTCTTCTTCTAAAGCATGTATTCTTGGTTGCCGCGCAATAGAAAGAAAAACAAAATCTATCAACAACATCGTACATGATGATTTTAGCCCCATTACAAGCAAACCATTCGTCAAATGCTCGGAATAAACGTCCATGTAAATTGCAGTGAAATATGATCCCCAATCTCCAAAAATGTTTGCCAGTAAATATATTT